GGCCGCCGAGCGGGAGGAGCCGAGAGCCCCCCGTGGCCGGAAGAGCGCCCGAAGTCGGGGCGAAAACCGTCGGAAGCCTCGAGCCTCGAGCCTCGAACCTCTGTGTCCGCTGGACGAGGGCACGCGAGGGCAGCCCTCGCGCGTCGCCCCCGCGCAGCGGCGTCGCGCCTCCTCTGGCCCGGGCCGCTCCCCAGACCCCCCCCCCTGCGGACGACGTGGCCAGCGGCTTGTCGGCGGCGAGCGCGGGGGGGACATGAGAAGGAGAAGGCCCTCTCAGAAGGCGGCGGGACTTATCTCGGGTCGGGCGAAAGGGGGGGATAGCAAACGGGGGGTTTGAGAATCAGCTCACGTAGCTGATTTTCCCGGCGCCTCCCAGCGCCTCCAGGCGCCATGTATCGAGGAATGGGCCCCTCGGTGGGGCCGAAACCAGCTGCATGCAGCAAATTTATTAACCCCCCCTTTCCCCCCCCCCCCCTTTCGTCCGGCGCAAATGGTTGGGTACGTCCCCGGGTAAGGTTCTTTCTCGACCGAGCGGAGGAGCGCCCCGAGAAACATGCCCAACTCCTGGGTGAAACATGTCGGGCTTGGCACCGCCAACATCCGTGATGCACCACCGGCAACTGCCCGACTCGGCAACACACCCGGCCTCGGCAGAACACGAGACCCGCGTGACTCGATGGAACACAGCAGTCGCATAGGATAAGAAATCTTGCCGTCAGATATCTAGGGCTCTGAGCTCCGCATGGGGCCCTAGAGCGCTGAGGGCTCAAAGTGAAATGATGTACTTCCGTGGAGCACCAGCTGGCACGCTGGTTTCGTAACTGGCGTGCCTCCTGCACAGAGACGCCTTACCTGGACGCTCACGCGCGGGGAGGGGAAAGGCAGGGAGCGAGGATGAAGATGACGAAGATGACGCGAAGAAAGTCGAGGATCACACGTCCACTGTTGCAGCACCAAAGTCGCAATAATCAACGCGTCTTTTCATCCTTCTCGGGAACGCCCATGAACGGCCCAGCACCCCCCCCCATCTCGCCCCTGGTCCCGCCACGATTCGCGCCGGCGCTGTGCGCGACTCAATCAGTCCTAAGCACTCCCAAACGGCGCCGGCACGAATCGTGACGTGACTGGCCCTCCCTCGGCGGCGCCGGCCTTACGTCTACAAGGAAGGCCCGCGCCTTCTGAGAAGCAGGGGTGCTGCTGAGAAGCCTTCCCCCCTCCCCCTACCCCCTTCTGCGCGTGGCCAGCCCCCTCCCCCTTACCCCCCCCCCGGGTCACGCCCGCTCTCGCCAGGGGGATGGCAGAGCGGTCTCCAAGCGCACGCGGAGGAGACAGCTGTGCAGAGGCGGAGCTCTTCGCAAGTCTCGGGCCGAAGGGCCCCGGAGAGCCCGCAGCATAGACTGAGCTTGTTGAGGGAGAGCGCCCGCGCCGAAGAGTTCCCGACGCCGGCTGTCTGGGCCTCGCGTTCTGTCGGGCCTGTCCCCCTAATGGAGGATGATGATTCAAAAATGACCAGGGGTCGTGTTCACGCGGCGGCGCCCGGGATGACGATTAGAAAACACCGGCCGCGGGCTGGAAAACCATTTCTTCATCGTTCTCCTCCAGCCGGCAGACAAGTATTTGTTTAATCGTTCCCCCCCATCTTTTTATTAATCGTCATCCCAGGCCTGTCCCCCCCGGGCCACGTCCGCGCTCTCGCCGGGGGATGGCAGAGCGGTCTCCCAGCGCACCGCGGAGGAGACGGCTGTGCAGAGGGCGGACGTGGGCGCCTGGTCGGATCGGGGCGGCCTGGCCTATCGAGCGCGAGGCTGAAGTCGGGCCTGTCCCCCTACAGGGGGATGTTCGACGAAAAATATAAAAAAACACAAAAAAATAAGCAAAACAGAATCACAAAATAGTCTGGGGAGTCTTTTTTGAATATGTGTTGGCCTTTTTGGGGCATTGTTTTTGTCGAACATCCCCCTGTAGGGGGATTTTCAACGAAAAATAAGAAATACACAAAAAAATCAAATGAATAATCAAAAATGGTCAGGGGAATATGTTTGAATATTTGTTGGCCTTTTTGGGGCATTTTCCGGGTATTATTTTCGTCGAACATCCCCCTGTAATGCGGGATGACGATTAATAAAAAATGGGGGGAACGATTCAAAAAATAGTTGCCTGCTTTTTCTGCACAATTTTCTGACTGGAGGAGAGCGATGAAAAAATAGCTTTCCAGCCCGCGGCCGGTTTTTTCTGATCGTCATCCCGGGCGCCGCCGCGTGAACACGACCCCCGGTCATTTATGAATCGTCATCCTCCATTAGGGGGGTCCAGCCCCGATCCACGAAATCCGCGCAGAACAGAGAAATGTCGTTTTTGTTGATGCTCTCAGAGGAAGTAACCAGTCGCGAGACGGAGATCCAGAAGCTGGTTACCGACCAGGAGGCGGCGTTGGAAAGCTTCGAGAAGGCGAAGGCCGAGATGGCCTTCCTCCAGACAGAGGGCCAGGACCCGAAAGGCGGGCCAACCGTCATCCTCCATTAGGGGGACAGGCCCGACAGAACGCAAGGCCCAGGCAGCCGGCGTCGGGAACATCTCTTCGGCGCGGGCGCTCTCCCTCAACAAGCTCAGTCTGTGCTGCGGGCTCTCCGGGGCCTGGCGGCCCGAGACGTGCGAAGAGCTTCGCCTCTGCACAGCTGTCTCCTCCGCGTGCGCTCGGAGACCGCTCTGCCATCCCCCTGGCGAGAGCGGGCGTGACCCGGGGGGGGGGGGTAAGGGGGAGGGGGCTGGCCACGACCCCCGGTCATTTATTAACCGTCATCCTCCATTAGGGGGACAGGCCCGACAGAACGTAAGGCCCAGGCAGCCGGCGTCGGGAACATCTCTTCGGCGCTGGCGCTCTCCCTCAACAAGCTCAGCCTCTGCGGGCTCTCCGGGGCCCCGCGGCCCGAGCTCTCTGCGAAGAGCTCCGAGCTCTCCTCCACCACCTCCTTCCTCCTCCTCCTCCTCCTCCTCCTCCTCGCTCCTCCCTCCTCCTCCTCCTCCTCCTCCTCCTCCCTCCTCCTCCTCCTCCTCCTCCTCCTCCTCCTCCTCCCTCCTCCTCCTCCTCTCCTCCTCCTCCTCTCCTCCTCCTCCCTCCTCGAGCCTCGGCCACTAACAGGCGCCCCGGCCTCAATCTGCGGAGCGGCCTGGCGATCAGAGCGCCTCCAGAGCCCAGAGCAGTGCCCTCACTGCAGGGCGCTGGCTGCCCTCCCAGGTTTGATCACTGAGCGAGACCGAGCACGAACCACCGCGGCTCGAAAGATAGGCGGCGCGACCCGCCAACGGCATCCCACATGGCCGCCGCGCTGCCATGGCAAAATGGCGCTGCCACGAATTGAAGCTGCCGGGCGGTGTCCGGGTGGCCCTGCTCTTCTCGGCACACGCTGACGCGGACTGCGGACCCGAGGACTTGGCGCGCGGGCGCCAGACCCACGGATCGGGACGAAAACTCAGGCGTTACGATGTTCCAACCTACTTTAGCCTTGACCACCAAAAAATGATTCCGAACACCAACAAACAAAACACGAAACTCGAAGGCTTTCACGTGTCGGGCCCCGGGAGACACTCGCACGACCCTGTTTCGACCCTCTTTCGATACTTGTGTCCGGGTGCTCAAAATTATTTCTGGAATGTGGTCCGTAAGTACGATGGGAGCAACATGAGGCTCATGTTGCATCCTTGGGGGACCTTGTCTGTCCCCTCGTGGCCCTATCCGCGTCGAGTCGGCGTCGGATCGATGCCGGACTCGTCGGCTCCGTGGGCGAAGCCGTACCGACTCCGCGCCGAGACCACGCCAAACATCCGCGCAGAGTCCGCACCGAGCCCGTGTCTCGGGCACAGGGAAAGAGAGAGAGAGACACCACTTTTGGGGGGGGCGGGCGCGGCCCTCCCGCGGGTGCAGCGCAAGTTTCAGGCCACTGTCGCCTGGTGTCGCGACCCAGGCCCACGACGTCCTGGTTTGTTCATAGCGTCGACCCTCAGAGGTCTCGACCCAGTTGACTACCTACCAGACCACCCCAACCCAACCCGAAGACCCGAATTTCGGGTTGGGGGGTAAGGGTTCCACATGTGTGTGTTCGATGTTTCCCGACCCCCCCCCCACTGGAAATCGAGGGTAAATTTGAGCCTTCGGGTTGGGTTGGGGTGCTTTGGTGGGTGGTGACCATTCCCCTGGACCGGCTTTTCATCCTGAGTCTCATGTTGCTCCCGTCGTACTTAAGGACCACATCCCAGAAATAATTTCGAGCACCCGGAAAAATATCGAAACAGTGTCGAAAGAGAAGGAGTGTCGAAACAGTGTCGGGCGAGTGTCTCCCCAAGCCCGACACGTGAAGGCCCTCGAGTTTCGGGTAGATCTTCTGGTGCTCGAAACTCTTCCTGGTGGTCCAGGCTAAAGAAAAGGCTGGAACATCATAGCCTGAGTCGTTTCTTGACGATCCCGAGGCCCGGTGAGGGCCTCCAATCGGGGCTGGACAGAACCCCCTTTAGCAAAACGTGGTTTAGTGAAAACGACCTGAGGCCCAAACCTGGCGGCCGCAAGCCTGGAAAATAACGGCCACGGCGCCCCCTCGAGAACCGAAAACGGACAATTCACGGAGGAGGGAGGGCCTCCAGAGGCCGAGAACATTGGAAACACCTCCGGTCAGGAGTCTTCCACTGCCCGCGGGGGGGGCCCGGGGACGGCGCGCACCGATGCTGCAGCGGCAGCGGGGCCCCCGCCGCTGCTCCGCGCGCCGCAGTTCGGGTCTGCGCTTCCTCGCTCTCTTCTTCGCCCTCCGGCGGCAGGACGTCCCCCCCTCTCAGCCCTCCCCTGACCTTCCAGAGAGCTATTTCTTAGCACTGGAAACCTAAAAACCTAAAAAACGAGACGAAACAGCCTAAACCCAAGACGGAAAATAGCTCTGGGATAGGTTTTTACGTCGGGTGCTATTTTTTTAGCCCTCCTGGAAGGTCAGGGTCTCCGCTGCGGGCGGCGGCTCCCCCTGGATCATGCTGGCCACGTGCGCCCGGAAGCGCTCGCCGTACATGCCCGGCGGCACCGTGGCCTTGTTCCTCTCCGCCGCCTTGATGATCCTGGCGTCGCGTCTCGTCGAGGCGCGGCAGAGCGGAGGAGGAGAGGGAGGGGACTGACGGGAGGACGATCGCCGTCTCGGGAGCATGCCCTGCCCTGTCCAGGCCGCTCTCCCTGGTCGGGTGAGCTCTCTCGGGCGCGCGCGCGGGGGCTCCCTCCTCTCTCTTCCCTGTGCTTCGGCTTACGCCCACTGTGACCGAGAGGGTGCTTCACAACTCGCCGCCCAGGAAAATCATGAGGAGGTGGCCCCCGTTCCCCGGATGTGTCTCCATGCGTTTGGCCACGTAGGCATCTGGGAACGAAGCGAGACAAGGGGCAAGAGGCCGGCCTTCCCATAAGGGAAAGGGGAATGAGGCGCAGGAGGGGGATGACAAGAATGGGGAGCAACTTCTGGGAGGTCTTCGTTGAAACGACAATGGGCTGAGAATGACCGCTTAAGTTGCCGCTAAGCCGGCTGAACCCAGATTAAGCACAGTAGTACTCTGAATAGCATGCCATCTAAGCGGAAGCGATCGCGCGTCACGAACCCGCGAATCAGCCGGCCCCCTTGTGGGGCCTCCAGGCTTTGGGCAGACGCATTGCATTGGCATCACTGATGTAAGAGATTGGATTCGGTATTTGTGACCGGCCCCTCCTCTGCAAATGATGCCCAGGACCCAGAAAGCAGTCCAAAATCACCCGCGGGGGGGGGGGGCAATATTCTTGTCTCCCACACACCATCATACATTCATACCGCTTCGCTTATCGCCACCAGCCCGTAATCCTGATACGATGCCCAGCGGAACTGCCCTGAATGGGGTTGCGTGGCATCATTTGGAAATCTCGGGGGTCTGTGTGGGCCAGAGGCCCTTTAGATGCTTCCTTGTGTCTCTTGAGGTGTCTCTTGGTTGGGGCCCTCTTGGGGGTCATCTGTATCGTTTCGGTGACCTCTTGGTTACTCTTGGGGGTCGTTCGGGGCATCTTGGGCGCCTCTTGGGGCCTCTTGGACGACTTGTTTGGAGTTGTTCCAGGCCATCTTGAGGCCAACTAGTGCCGGGGAGTAAACAAGGAGAGGGGGAGGGCAATAGCATCGCCACCCCAAATGCCGACATTTGGCCCAAACCTATAGAGCATCATTGGCAGTCTCGCTGAGGCCATCGGGGGCGCTCTGACCACTCGCGAAGGCCCCCCTTCCAGTAACAATGGTAATACGAATGATCACACTACTAATAATGAGCATTGTCATCGTCGTCGTCGTCGTTGCCGTCGTCGTCGTCATCGTCGTAATCGTCGTCATCATCATAATCATCATCAGCATCATCGGCGTCGTCATCATCAGCATCATCATCATCAGCATCATCATCATCATCATCCACCGACCCCCTTGTAGGGCCACCAGGCTGTAAGACGAAGTTGCTGCTCCCTGCAACAGTTGCAGCTTCAAGTCTCCCAATGTTACAATCCTACTTTCTGCTTCTTACTGAATGCTGTTTAAGTCCGCGCGAGGAACGGGGGGGGTTCCAGACCGGCCGGCTACCACCCCCGAGTCGCATGCTCTGAATTCCCAGGGGGCGCGGGGCACGAACAAATACGCGAGACTCGCGCCCCTGAGGACAGAATCCCTTGCAAATTACAGAATGTGCGCGTCCCCGAGGCCATTGACCCTTGTAAAGTATAAGTTGCGACAGCTCCACGCTCCCAGGGAGAGATTCCTTTTTGCACTAGTGCCTGCTTTGACCACCAGAGGCTTCTGCGAGACCAAACAGTGTCCAAGAGGGCTGAGCACAGCTCCAAACGCGTCCCGAGCGGGCTCGATCAGGCTCCAAAAGGCTCCAAACGAAAAGCAAGAAGGCCCAGACATTGACACCCGAGGGCCCAAAGTAAACTCAGTGGACCTCCATGGGATCAGAAAGAAATAACCAAGAGAGGGGATGCCCCTTGGGCGCTGAGGAAAAAGAGAAACAGAAAGAGTAGGAGGTTCTTAGGCATCCTTGTTGCTGTGCACTCCTCTCTGCCCTGACGGGCTTCTTTTCCTGTCCAATGTTCTCTACCCTTCTACGTCCTGTCGGGCGCGCTCTGGCTGTTTTCTTTCAAATGGATCGTGTGCTGCGTTCTGATCTCGTTGCTTCTCGGATCGCGACCGTCAGAACTCGACGCCTCACGCCAACAATATCTGGTCCAACGGAGCAAGGTTGAATGACGGCCACGAGAATGGCGACGAGGAGTCCCTCGACGCGAGGCAGGCGGCAGTAGCCGAAGGCATTGAACAGAAAGAGATGGGCAGCGCTGGCGACCCCCGCGGAGGGATCCAACGAAACAGCGATGCGAAACACTGGAACGACCCCTAGTTGAAGGGAAACTGGGACACACAAATAAATACACACAAATAAAAAGATTCCCCATATTTTCCCATATTTTCTGGGTTTCTGTCTTCCCCCCCACTTCCCATATTTTCCCATATTTTCTGGGAATCGCCGATTAAATGTGTCTGTGTGTTTTTTTTCCTCCTGAACTGGAACGACCCCCAGTGAACGCGCAAACGAGACATGACGAAGCAGCCCGAGTCCGCCGACCCCCGCTTCCCAGGGGTGAGAGGGCGCGTGAGACATTTAGCTCCCCCTCTTGCCACCGCCCACAAATGAAGGGGCCCCAGGACACACAAATAAATACACACAAATAAAAATATCCCCCATATTTTCTCATATTTTCTGGGTTTTTTGTCTTCCCCACCATTTCCCATATTTTCCCATATTTTCTGGGGGATCGACGATTAATTGTGTCTGTGTGTTTTTTCCCCTCCTGAATTTAGCTCCCCCTCTTGCCTCCGCCCACAAAGTCCAAACTTAAGTCGGGCCTGTCCCCCTACAGGGGGGATTTTCGACGACCCAAACAAATACCGGACAAATAATCACAAAATAGTTCCAAAATAGTCTGGAAACTATTTTTTGAATATTTGTTGACCTTTCTGGGGTATTTTGTCAAGTATTCTTAAGTTTTCGTCGAAAATCCACCTGTAGGGGGGGGGACACGCCCGACATAAGTCCAAAATCGCGTTCGAGGGGGGGGCCCACGGGATCAGCCGCGCACCACCGGGGCCTCCGGAGTCAGCACATCCAACCTCCGCGGCCGCCGAGATCCGAAGATGCGTCATGCAGGGCAGTTGTTAGTAGTAGGATGTTTGAAAATATATGATCTTAATACATGAGCAATTCATGCATAAATTTATGCATGAACTCATCGTTGCTTGTAATACTAAATCCCTGCATTTTTAATACATGAGCCGCACGCGGAGCATGTCTTAAAAACGGCACTATAAGATGGCCCCAGAAGAGCTCCAATACGCCGGAGAGGCCTCAAGAACACCCAAGATAGTCTCAAGACGGCCGAAAACGCAGAAAGATTGCCCCAACAGGACCTCCCCGGATGGTCTCAATAATCAAGACATATTGATTGCCCATGAGTGGTTGCATGATCTTCTCGTTCTCGGCTCGCTGGCGTCTGCGCGCTCAAGACGGCCCAAGATGCCCCCCAGACTGGCCCAAGCTGCCCCAAGAGGACCCCAAACAGCCTGGAAACGGCCAGGGAGGGCTCCAAGACGGCCCAAGATGCCCAGGGCAACGGACACTGGTGGTGGGGGGCGCACATACATACATACATACATACATACATGCATGCATGCATGCATGCATGCATGCATGCATACATACATACATACATACATACATACATACATACATACATACATACAACCATGCATGCATGCAAGCGTGCGTGCGTGCGTGCATGCGTGCATGCATGCATGCATGCATGCATGCGTGCATACAAACGTACGTACACACATGCATACCCGCATACATATATATGTATATATGTATATATGTGTATATGTATACATAGATGCATGCATGAATACATGCATACATACATGCATGCATGCACGCGTATATACACGCATACGTTCACACACATGCATACATATATACATACATGCATACATACATACCTGCATACACACGTGCGTGCATACATACATGCAGACACACATACACATACACACATACACACACATACACTCATACACACATACATGCATGCATACATGCATGCATACATACACACTTGCACACAGTCATACATACATACGTGCATGCATACATACATGCATACAGTCATAAATACATGCATGCATGCGTGCATACACGCACACATGTATACATACACACATGTCTGCATGCATACAAACAACAAAACATCCATGCATACAGACTTACACACCTGCATACACACCGATATACCCATGCACTTATATATCTACATGCGTACCTAAACACAACTACACACAATCATACACGTGCATGTCTGGATTTGTATATGCATGTGTATGCATGTATGCATGTATGCGTGATTGCATGTATGCATGCATCGATGTTTATGTTTTTAACGTCTCACGCTCGAGAACCTACCCCGAACACTGCCCACTAGACTGAGCGCGATGGCAATTGCGAGCGTGATTACATGGTCATGCTGCTGCCCCCGACCTGGGGCCCGCCGTCCCTGGAGCAAGCTTCATTTGCACCCCAGCTGCTTTCTGAAAGTCTGCCTGCCCGGGGACGTGCTCTGTGGAAGCCAGCAGCCGTGCAGCAGACTCGGGGCCCCCCTCCCTGTGAACCGCGGCCTCGTGCCTGATCCAACGGTCGAGGGGGCGAAGGCCCACAGGATGCCGAGAGCTGCAGAAGAGCCTTCGGGCAACCTCCGCTCAGAACCCAGCGTGCTCTTGCTGAGCCTAGGACCGATGGAAATCACCATCGGCGAACGCATCCACATAAACGGCCTCGCGGTCTGGACTCCAGGGCGTGATCGTAAATGATACGAGGCCGCATGCGCACGTTCCGCGCTCGGCATCCGCCAGAGAGCGCCCTTTCTCCACGGGCCCAAGGGCCAAAGGCCCCGCCCGAGGCCGCCGATGCGGATGTGGCTTCCGCACGCGGGGAGCGAGCTGGGACGAGTCAGAGCGTAGGCCAAACAGTGGACGGGGCGGGATGGGGCTGCGGGCCTGGCAACTCGCTTGGCGGCGGTCCACTTCTGCAAGAAGTCGATGATGCTGATCTGCACGACGAGGTCCGTGCCTGCACTGCACGGGCTCACAGCACGCTCGCTCGATGCAGGTGTGTAGCCGGTGCAACGTTGGCTGCACGCACGGTGCAGAGGCTTTGGAACCTCTGGGCAGGGGGCACGCCAGAAGACAGGGTCGATAGTCGCAGGAACAACTGTGCAACGTCTGGTGGGATGAGCTGGGCATGGCTGGTGGCCAGAAAACTGAAGTATGAATAACCGCTAGGACCTCAAGCAATGTTTCGCTAGGCAGTGCTGAATGGAGCACGTGCTACGTGTAGGCCTAGGGCTGAAGCACAAGATCAGGAGAAAACCAGGGCTAGGGGGATGGTTACGGCTATATGGCCACTAATACCAGGGAGACGGCTAACGCTAACACCAATCTAAACCAACTCAAGGTGGGCCAGGCGAAGTAAGCGCTAAGCAAACATGCCATCAAGAGAAGCATCGACCGAATGAGTGGGGTGATGGCTAAACGAGTGGCTCGTACGAAACGTGTGCAGACAGCATGTTGGTGGAGATCAGGGTCAACTGATGACGAATGCGATAGGAACCGCTGGCGGAGGCGACTCATGACATAGGAAAACGCCCGAAACAGATGGGGATCCCAAGAACACCCACTTTCAACAAGCGATGGGCTGGGTTCGTATGTGGGCCGTTCGGGAAACCCTGTATCAGCACACGTTGACCCAAACATGCGACGTCCTGCTTTTTTCAAGACGGCGCCCCTGGAAACCCCGACCCTTTCCCCTGGACTGGTTTTTCGCCCTGCGTCGCTTTTTGACGCTCCCCGGGGCCGGCGAGGGCCCCCCGGGGCCGAAAATGGCGAAAAACCTCCCGCCGTGATTTTTCCACGACGCCGTCCTGTCCGGGGACATCTATCCTGCCGGCCCGTGGCTAGGGGACAAAAACTGACATAAACATAAAAACTCTGAGGTCCGCGCGGATTTCTCGGATCCGCGCTTGACCCCCCTGGCGGCGCCTCAGGCGCCGCCCCTGGCGCGCTCCGCGCGCCAGGGAGGGGGGTCCACCGCGGATCCGAGAAATCCGCGCGGACCTCCGAGTTTGTCTTATTTCTGCTACTTTTTGTTCCCCTACCCTGACCTTCCAGGAGGGCTAAAAAATAGCACCCGACGTAAAAACCTATCCCAGAGCTATTTTACGTCTTGGTTTTAGGCTGTTTCGTCTCGTCTTTTAGGTTTTTAGGTCTCCAGTTTTTAGGCCGCCCCATCCAGGCGTGCACTCGCAAGGAGGGGACGGGGGGGGGGGGGCGGTCCGTTAGAGGGGGGGCACCGGCGGGCTACTCTTGGACTCTTGGATTACTCTTGGACCTTTCGACTTTTCGCCCTCCCGACTTGTCGAGCTGTTCGGCTTCTCGGCTCCTCGGCCTGTCGAACTGCTCGCAACGTGTTACGGATTTTGAAATTTGGTCCAAGAGGCTCTGTTTGGATGCTTAGGGGGGGGGGGGGGGGAACGCCGTGCGCCTCGCGTGCCCCTTCTGGGCCTCGGTGGGGGCCGCTCTGCCCTGACCTTCCAGAGAGCTATTTTTTAGCACTGGAAACCTAAAAACCTAAAAAACGAGACGAAACAGCCTAAAACCAAGACGTAAAATAGCTCTGGGACAGGTTTTTACGTCGGGTGCTATTTTTTAGCCCTCCTGGAAGGTCAGGGTGAGAGCCCCCGTCGTCCAACCACTTACGGTGGGGGCATTGGATAAGGAACCCTTCGGAATCCGGGGGCTGGAGGCCGGTGGAGCGCCAATCGGGTCTTGGTCGTGGGTGTCGCCACCGCCCTCGTCAGGTACTCCAGATTTCGTAATAAAAGGAGGGGGGTCTCATTTCGGGGGGGGTCTGTTCCAGGCTATCTTGGAGGGCCTGGGGGGGTCTGGGGACGATGTTTTGGAGGGTTCTCCCACGGGGGGGGGTCTAAAACTTCTCGTCCGGGAGGGTTGAGACCCCCTCCCTTTTATTACGGAATCTGGAGTAAGGAACCCTCCAGGGTCTGAAGCCTCCTGGGCATGTTCCTTAATGAGCGCCCCCGCCGTATCTTTAGGGCGGGCCTGTCCCCCTACAGGGGGGAGTCTTGGCGAATGGATAACACATCCTCAAAACAGATTCCAAACATGCGCAGACATAGCTGAAAAACTGGTGCCCGGACTACGTTTTGACTATTGTTGCATAGTTCCCCTGCAGAGGTACAGGCCCGACTTAAACCTATCTCGGGGGCGACGATGGGGGCGACTAGGTCAGGGGAGAGCATTGCACGCACCTCTCAGGGAGCCTCGCGGAAGACAGGGATCATCGGGGCCCCTGGATGCACGTATTGCTCCCCCCTGGGCTATTCGCCCCTTTCGCCGCCTCCGGCTATCGCTCCCCCATTGCCCGTCGGTCGGAAGAAGTGGGTAGGGAGCATGACGTACGGGGGCGTCTGGGAGCAGATGGGGCTCCCGCCCGCCCCCCTGGAGAGGAGGGGAAGAGGGGCAGCCGCTCGGCTCTTGAAGCAGGAAGGCGCCAGCAGTGTATCAGGACCTGGGCCTCCGGACCGCCTTTCGGTCGGGCGTGTCTCCCTACAGGCGGATCCTGGACGAAAGATCAACATACCCCAACAATATTTGAAAGTAGCCAACACATGATCAAACAATCGCCCCCAGACTATTTGTTCGACCATTTTCGAATATTCCTCCTGCGCAGGGACACGCCCGACTTAAAACTACCTGACGCGTGTCCTCAACGCCCGACTCTGGTCGCCCAGCGGTTCGCCGCCGTCGCCCGAGCCAGGCGCGCCCCACCCCCTCCCCCACCCCGGGGAGCAACGATAGGGGGGGACTGGCACAGTTAGGGGGACACATCGACCTGGAGGACTCGGCGATACATCGCCGATAGATCGGCAATAGGTCCCCCGATAGCGAATCCGCACGCTCCTGGGCAGATGGGGGCTGTCGGGCCCCTCTCGGCGATCAACGGGCGATGCGTCCCCGCATCCCCAGACCCCCGGCGTCATGACTTGTTCACAACGTCGACCCTGAGAGGCCTCGACCCATTCCCCTGGACCGGTTTTTCAGCCAGAGTTGTTTTCTGACGGTCCCGAGGCCGGGCAAGGGCCTCCAGAGGCAGAAAATACAGGAAAAAGTCTCGTCCTATGATGGGAGTGTTCTTCCCTCGGGTAATGAACGAATCATATGATTATTCCATTACCCGAAGGATTCTGGGTCCCCCTCGATCGTTGTCCTGGTGAGCGTTTTTCTGTTATTTGGCGTTGCGACATTGGGCGGAAGGGGGGGATGGGGGGGGAGCCACTGCTCAGTGCGGCTGTCTGGAACCGTGCGTCCCACGGGGGCGATTCCACCCGCTCGGAACAGGCGTCAAAAACAGCCAAGATCCACTCCATACAGTGCCGTTTTAAAAACATGCTCCGCGTGCGGATCATGCATACAAAATGCAGGGATTTAGTATTAACAGCAACGACGAGTTCATGCATACATTTATTCATACATTGCTCATGTATTAAAAATCATGCTTTTAATCCTATGTATTAAGAACTGGTACCGTTTTTAATACATGCTCCGCGTGCGGTTCATGTGTTAAAACCGCAGGGGCTTAGTACTAAAAACAACGATGAGTTCATGCATACATTCCTTCATGAATAAACCACGTATTTAAAATCCTATATATATAACAACTATGCATTTACAATTGCCCTGTAGGAGGGAAGGGGGAGGGAGCGCGGGAGCCCGCGGCGATCGGCAGACCAATGGATACAAAGACGACCACCGGGTGCGAAAGAATCAGCTCCCGCAGCTGATTCTCCCGGCGCCTCCCGGGCGCCGGAGGCGGCCGATGCATCGAGGAATGGGCCCCATCGGTGAGGCCGAAACCAGCGGCATGCAGCAACTTTCGTAACCCCCCCCCTTTCCCAATCCCCCCCTTTCGCCCGACCCGACCCTCCCCTCTGGAGGTAACCTCTTGCGCCCTGCAGGCACTGCTGAGGGCCCTGCAGGGGCCCGACCGCGGGCCGCAGAGGCCCAGGGGTCGAGGGCAAACGCCCGCACCGAACAGGAATTTCGTAACCCCCCCTTTCCCAATGCCCCCCTTTCGTCTGGCCCGAGACCACCCGACCCCCCCTCGCGGGAGGCGCCGTCTGGGCCCGGCTTGGCGAAGGTCCTCTGGGCCAGGTCCTCTCTCGGCGGCGCGGGGCGGCGCGGGGGCGGGCGCCGTCGGGGGGCGCCCACAATGAGGGCGGGCGCGCAGGGCGCGCGCGGGGACGAGGAGGCGGCCCTTCGGTTCGCTTTTTACGTCGGGCGTGTCCCCCTACAGGGGGATTTTCGACGAAAAATTAAAAATACACAAAAAATCAAATGAATAATCAAAAATAGTCAGGAGAGTATTTTTTGAATATTTGTTGGCCTCTTTGGGGCATTTTTCCGGAAAAATAATCAAAAAATGATTCAAAAATAGTCGGGGGGCTTTTTTTTTTGTATTTTCTGGCCTTTTTGGTGCATGTTTGGGGTATCTTGTTTTGTTTCGTGGAGAATCCCCCTGTAGGGGGACAGGCCCGACAGAAGGTTATCTCGAATCCGAGAAATCTCTGGCTCGCCCCCGCCCGGGGCGCCAAGGCGACCCCACGAAACCCCGAGATGCCCCCGAGCCCCGTCGCGGGAGGCGCCGTCTGGGCCGGGCCTGGCGGAGGCCGTGCGGCCCAGGTCCTCTCGGCGGGCGGGCGGGGGGGGGCGGAGGGAGCCGGGGCGCCGCCGCCGGGGTCGTCCAAGGACCCTGACCTTCCAGGAGGGCTAAAAAATAGCACCCGACGTAAAAACCTATCCCAGAGCTATTTTACGTCTTGGTTTTAGGCTGTTTCGTCTCGTTTTTTTATGTTTTTAGGCTTCCAGTGCTAAAAAATAGCTCTCTGGAAGGTCAGGGGAGGGGGGCGTTTCGCAGAGCGCGGCCCAAGGCACGCGCGCGGACGACCCAGAGATCCGACGCTCCCCCCAAAAATGGAGCGGGCGGTTCGGGGCCATCCTCGGCCTCTGGGGGTCCTGGCCGGGCCTCGGGAGCGTCAGAAGACGACTCGGGGCGAAAAAACAGCCCTGTAGGGGACGCACGGCCACGGGCACGCGCGCAGACGAGGAGGGGGGGTCGGCCGGGGGGCGTCTCTAGAGGCCTCCTGGATGGGGTCGGAGTAGATGAGGTAGGAGGATCGCGCAGCATCGCCGATACATCGGCGATGCATCGCCGATGCATCGGCGACGCATCGGCGACGCCAGCGTGGAGAACATCGGGCTCCACATCGAGCCGCATCGCCGATGCATCGACGATACGGCGCGATCCTCCGACCCCATCTGCCCTGACCCCATCTAGGAGGCCGAGAGTCTTGAGACTAGGAGAGGCGCCATGAGGTCTGCGGAGGTATCATGGCCCTGGCCATGATGTCCTCACGCCCCCCGTCAGCACCCCCCTCTCGGCCGCCCCACGTCGGCCGTGGCCGTCGTCGGCATCGCTCGCGCGCAGCCAGGCGGCCACCCCAGGGAAGCAGGGCTGGGGGAACGGCCGGTGGGGACCTCGGCAGGCAGTGAAACAAATCATGACGGGAATTTGTTCCCATACTTTCGCCCTCTGGTGGAGGCCCTTGCCGGGCCTCGGAACCGTTTTTTTTTTTTTTTTGTTCGTTTCGAGCCTCGGGACCGTTGAAACACGACTCCGGCTGAACAGCCCGTCCAGGGGCATGGGTCGAGGCCTTTCGGGGTGGACGTTATGAACAACTCAGGACGTCGGGGGCCTGGGCACATGGATGTATTCGGGCCCAGGGTCAGGTCGGGCGTGTCTCCCCACAGGGAGATCTTGGGCGAAAGATCAAAAATACCCCAACACTATTCTCCAAAGCTCAAAAGTATGTATTAAAACAACTCGCCCCCATGCTATGCTTTGACTCTTTTTGACACCCTCCTGCAGAGGGACAGGCGCGACTTCAGCCCATGGGGGGGGGCACACACACGTCCATGTCCACCGACTGCCGAGGCCCCTGACGCTGGCGCCCCCCCAATCGGGAGCGGCCAAAAGGGGGGGGGGGGTGTCCAAGAGAGGGGTGTGCAACTCATGACCGGCGGCACGTGCGCGCCCCAGCGGGGAGGCCAGGGACGTGACACGTGATGAAATAAGAAGAGGCGCCATGAAATCTGAGGAAAAGTCATAGCCCGCGCCGTGAAATCCACCCCCCCTAGTCATCACCCCCCTCTTTTCCGCCCCCGATCCCTGGGGACGCCAGGATAGGTGCCGGTACCGCTGCTCCCCGGACCTCTCCCGGGCCGCGCTCTGCCCAGGAGGCTTCGAGGCGCAGCCAGCGGCGGCGACGAGGGCCTCCCAGGAGGCCCCCCCAACGAGGGGAGGAGGGAGGAGGGAGGAGGATGGAGGAAGGAGGAGGAGGGAGCAGGAGGGAGTGGGGGGGAGTGGGGAGGAGGAGGAGGGAGGAGGAATGAGGAGGGAGGAGGAGGGAGGAGGAGGGAGTAGGGAGGAGGAGGGAGGAGGGAGGAGGAGGGAGGAGGAGGGAGGTGGGAGGAGGAGGGACGCGGTGGCGACGAGGGCAGCGGCTTGGCTAATTACCTCTCGAGGTTCGGGGAGCATCCCCACCCTCGCAGACGACGAGCCTGTTCGAGGGCCTGGGGTCCCCGGCGCTCTCCCCAGAGAGCTCCGATCGCTCGGGCAGAACCTGCAGGATCCTGCACGCGAGCCCGGGTCGAGGCCTGCCCTGCCTCTGCAAGATCCTGCAAGATCCAGCGCTGTGGCTGACCCCCCCCCCCCGTGGGCACTGCCCCCCGCCTGCAGACATCCCGCGACTCGATAGTTTCGAGACACGGGCCCCCGACCTCCGTAATTACCACTAATTGCCCTGGGGCTGGTGTTCCATCTCGAGTCGTCTTTGGACGGCCCCGAGGCCCGGCGAGGGCCCCGAGAGGCCGCAAATGGCCAACAGCCTCCGTCTCGACTTTTCGAGACGCCCAGCGTCTGGGCCTCCAGGGCTCGAGACCGTTCGAGTTCGAGGGCGCGGGATCCGGCGCGGTTTCACCGTCGTAACGGGGGCCTGCGTTTTCAAGGTTTTGAGGAAATGCCGAGGGCGATCACATTCCCCGTCGTCCTGTGCCTCCTCGTCGTCGTGATCCTCGCAATCTGCCTTTTGAAAAACATTTAAAACGCAGGCCCCCGTTACGACGGTGGAACCCCCCGGCGCTCCCCGGGAGCTCCGAGGCCGTGGCCTGCTCGGCCCGGGCGTGGCCCGCCGACCGCTCGGCGTCGCGGCGTCGCGGCCGCTCGGGGGCCCCGGGCGGGCCCTCCAAGAGAGCGGCCCTCGGGCCTGAGAGGCCTCGACCCCTTCCCCTGGACCGGTTTTTCATCCCGAGTCGTTCTTTGGACGGCCCCGAGGCCCGGCAAGGGCCCCGAGAGGCTGCAAACGACCAACAACCTCCGTCTCGACTTTTCGAGACGCCCCATGGCTCAATGGCTCGAGACCGTTCGAGTTCGAGGGCGCGGGATCCTCGGCGCTCCCCAGAGCGCGCGTCGATCGCTCGGCGTCACGGCTGGCCCGCTCACGGGCCCCGGGCGGGCCCTCCAGAAGAGCGACCCTCGGGCCTGAGAGGCCTCGACCCACTCCCCTGGACTTCGGTCGGGCCTGTCCCCCTACACGGGGGGGCTCTTGGACGAACGACCAAAAATATGCCTCCAAAATGCCCCCCAAAGGTCCAAACATATGCAACAAATAGTTCCCAGACTATTTTCGGACTCTTTTCGGATTATTTTTGAATATGCTTTATTTTTCGTCGAAAATCCCCCTGTAGGGGGACAGGCCCGACTTAACCCTGGACCGGTTTTTCATCCCGAGTCGTTCTTTGACGGCCCCGAGGCCCAGCAAGGGCCTCCCGAGGCCGAGAGCGACCCTCGGGCCGGAGAGGCCTCGACCCACTCCCCTGGACTTCAGTCGGGCCTGTCCCCCTACCCGGGGGCATTTTTTGATCGGACGACAAAAAAATGCATCCAAAATGCTCCAGAAAAGGTCCAAACATATGCAAACATTGTCCCGGCAAAGCAACCTAACAGCGATATGTAGAAGCATATCTGAAAGCATTCCCCTTAAGATTCAGATGAAAATCCAGTTGTAGAATTCTGCTGTTCTCGCAGTCGTAGTCGCATTCGCGATGACAGTCGCAGCGGCAACGGCAGTCGCAGTCACAGCCTCAGCCTCAGCCTGCCTCAGCCTCAGCCTCAGCCTGCCTCAGCCTCAGCCTGCCTCAGCCTCAGCCTCAGCCTGCTTCAGCCTCAGCCTCAGTCTGCCTTCAGCCTCGGCCTCAGCCTCAGCCTGCCTCAGCCTCAGCCTGCTTCAGCCTCAGCCTCAGCCTGCCTCAGCCTCAGCCTGCCTCAGCCTCAGCCTCAGCCTGCCTCAGCCTCAGCCTCAGTCTGCTTCAGCCTCAGCCTCAGTCTGCCTTCAGCCTCGGCCTCAGCCTCAGCCTGCCTCAGCCTCAGCCTGCCTCGGCCGCAGCATCAGCCTGCCTCAGCATTCAAAATGTGGCCCAGGAATGGAGTTCTGGGAACTAGAAGAACACGAAGTGGCCTACAGTTGGCTCCGGGCATTCAAAATCATGCCCAGGAATGGAGTTCTGGGAACTTGAAGAGCACGAAGTGGCCTACAGTTGGCTCCGGTCATCCAAAATGCGGCCCGGGAAAGGAGTTCTGGGAACTCGAAGAGCACGAAGTGGCCTACAGTTGGCTCCGGGCATTCAAAATGTGGCCCAGGAATGGAGTTCTGGGCACTCGAAGAGCACGAAGTGGCCTACTGTTGGCTCCGGGCATTCAAAATGTGGCCGGGAATGGAGTTCTGGGAACTCGAAGAGCACGAAGTGTGTGACTGTTGACGAAAAACGAACCCGGCTCTGTTCCCGGGTCTCCAGAATGTGGCCCGGGAATAAAGTTCTGGGAGGTCGAAGAGCACGAAATGTGTGACTGTTGGCGAAAAGCGAGCCCGGCTCTGTTCCCGGTTCTCCAGAATGTGGCCCGGGAATAAAGTTCTGGGAGGTCGAAGGTCACGAAGTGTGTGACTGTTGGCGAAAAACGATTCCCGGTTCTCCTCCCCGGCACCCGCCCAGACCCCCCTGAGGAGTCATGATGCTCTCTTTTGAGCCTACTAGAAACCCTATCAGCAAAAGCTGTTAGGTAAATAGTCCCCAGACTATCTTCGGACTATTTTTGCATTATTTCTGATTTTTTTTTAAATTTTCTTCGAAAATCCCCTCTGTAGGGGGACAGGCCTGACTTAACCCTGGACCAGTTCTTCATCCCGAGTCGCTTTTTGACGGCCCCGAGGCCCGTCAAGGGCCTCCCGAGGCCGAAAATGTGGAAAAAGCTCCCATCGTGTTTTTTCCACTGCCCGAGGGCGTCTGGGGGCAGGTCTCGGATTTCGCCAAGGGATCCACGAATGCCGAGCCCCGCCACCGCCGCCCACCGAACTGCCCGAACCGCGGATCGGCGAGGGCGGGGCTCGGGCCTCGACTTCGCCGAGAGTCACGGGGGCGGCCGAGGACTGCAAGGATAGAGCTGCCCCATCGAGAGGGGGCCCTGCGTGGGCGGCTCCGACAAGGGGATGAAAAGGTGCGAGCCCTGCGTCGCCCAGCGTTTCCTCCTCCTCCTCCTCCTCCTCCTCCTCCCCCTCCTTCTCCCTCCTCCTCCTCCTCCTCTGCTCCCCGCTCCTCCTCCTCCCTCCTCCTCCTCCCTCCTCTCCTGCTCCTTCTGCCTCTCCTCCTCCTCTCCTCCTACCTCCTACTTTCCTCCTCCCGCCTCCT